CGAACTGAGTTCAGACACAATGACAGGCCTCGGTAATGAGTAGGTGTGTGTTCGGTTTGAACAACAGCCATTGGTTAGTGTGTGTCTTTCTCTCTCTCTCTGTGTGTGTGTGTGTGTCTCTCGGTGTGTCTCGGTGTGTCTGTGTGTCTGTGTGTGTGTGTGTGTCTCTCGGTGTGTGTGTCTCTCTCTGTGTGTGTGTGTGTGTGTGTGTGTCTCGGTGTGTGTGTCTGTGTCTCTCTCTCTCTCTGTGTGTGTGTGTGTGTGTGTGTGTGTGTCTCTCTCTCTCTGTGTGTGTGTCAAACTAGTTTAGTTAAATGTGGCGTTTCTCAGTGACGTGTTCTCTTTGTTGTGATGATTGTGGTTCTTGGTGTCTGTTAAAGCCAACAGCTGTGAGACTCGCGTTGTAATTAACGTTTGAGGTCATTATTGAACGTCCAACAGATTCCAGCACTTCAAATACATCAAAGACGCCGGTCAAATCAGTTTGTTATTTCATAGATTGGTTTGTACAGGTTTTCTGCGGGTCATTTCCTAAAAATGGTTTGAATAGTCTTAAACGTTGGCTAACACATATATCAATGTGGTTCTGTGTATATAAACTAAAGGACTCTCTCCTCTCGGTAGACGATGCGTTCGCTGGCATGGACTGGATGTCGGAGAAAATCGACCTGAGTGATTTGGACCTGGAGTCTCTGATTGGTTCTGACGACTCCCCCGAGGAGCTGCTGGCCTCCCTGGACCCCCACCTGGACCTGGATCTGGACACCTTCCACTCCTCCCTCCCTCTGCCTCTGGATCTCCCCCTGGAGGAGGAGGTGGTGCTGAAATCCGAGCCCCCCTCCTCTGCTTTCCCCCTGGACCTGGCGAGTGAAGTGGACGTCCTGGATGTCCTCTCCTCCCCCGTTGTACTCCCCTCTCCTCCCCCCTCAGGCCACATATTGGTAGTGAACGCTCTCCCCGATCAGCCAATCAAAACCTCTCCTCCATCCAGCGACTGTGAGAGCGACTCAGGCATCGAGTCCTTCACCGACTCCCCCCCTCGCCTCCTTTCTTCTCCTCCAACTCCAACGCTTCCCTCTTCCTCCAGGACCAAGCCGTACTCTAAAAAACCCTCCTCTTCCTCCATCTCCATCAAAATGAAGTCGGTGTCCGGCGCTCCCAAGGTGGTGGAGAAGAAGCTGAAGAAGATGGAGCAGAACAAGACGGCGGCCACTCGTTACCGGCAGAAGAAGCGGGTGGAGCAGGACCTTGTGAGCGAGGAGTGCGAGGAGCTGATGAAGAAGAACGAAGCTCTGGAGGAGCGAGCGGAGGCCATCAGCCGGGAGATCAAGTACCTGACGGAGCTGATGGAGGAGGTCCGCCGGCGCCGCAACAAGAGCAAGGCTCCGTGAAGAGGGGCCATCGCTACAACCAAAGGGTTCCTCAGGAGATCCAGTCGGGGGAAGGTCCCTCAGCCCCCACAATGCACCTCTGTACTAACAGTTTGTCGTTCCCTCACTTCAGTGAACCCCCGTCTCAAGAGCTTCAAGTCCAGAAAGGGCCTCGACACCTCCACGAGTCCCTGATGTTAAACTGCGTGTGTGTGTGTGTGTGTGTGTATATAGTGTTTCCTCCTATGCTGCAGATATAGAAGCTCCTGTTGTTGATCGCAGGGTAATCCTGATCGTAGCCCTCCGTGCTGCTGATCGCCTTGTAAAAATGCTTTGCTCCTCTTTTCTAATAAATATCTTTCAGTGCTCAGCGACGTGTCGGTGCTTTACTGATCGCACAGTTCCTGCTGCACACACTAAGAGGGAAACGGGCTGTGCTTGGTATTAATGCTAAGACGTGCAAAGTAAAACATTTATGAATCATTTTTAGGATGTACAGTCGTTTAAAACAAACTAACCTCTTCATTTACCTCTCGCATCAAATGCAGAGAAGAACCAGAAGTGTTTTGTGTAAAATAGTTTGTAAATGACGCTTCCTGCAGGAGCCTGGGGTACGGAACCAAAACGCAACACATCCTTACGTTTGAGAAGCTAGAACCAAAGCATTGATGAAAAGACAGAATATAAGAAGTATAACTTCTAAAGTTAAAGTGAATCATGACAACAGAAATGTGTAAACATGTTTGACCATGAAAGTGTTAACGTTATCGTTTGATGGTAATATGAGAAACGCAGTCAAACATCACATGTTCTCTGGACGTCATTTGAATGTGTAAATAAATACATGGGAAATATGAAGAGTGTGTGATGCAGATCCTGATGGACCGGTTCCAGTGTATACATGTTCCTGCCTTGAGAACACACACTTCCTGGTGTGTGTGTGTTCAGAGAGATAAAGGTGTGTACAGTTACACACAGATAAGACACGGCAGTATTTTCCAAAAGAACAGTGTGACCATTTAAAGCCAACACGTTTACGAATGAAACACGTTTTTAAGTGCTTTCCACAAGAAATGCAAAATATGATGGCATTTAAAAACAGACATTAAAGAGACGGTAAATAACAACAAGCTCAAACAGAATAAGACCGGTTTGAAAAATAAAAATTAAAGCACGTCTTTATATATACAGTGAGTCGCAGGTATATGGGAGATAGTTCCTGACATTAGGAGCACAATATAACTTTAATAATATACACGTCTTGAATAATGAATGGTAATACAATGACGTAATGTTCTACAGTATTGATCCACAAACAGCATCACTGAAAGAGTTATTAAGACAGATATATTCATGCATGTTCTTTGTGTTTCTTTCTTGAATGTTTAAAAGTGATTCTAGGACTCCATTCATAATATATATATATATTCATAATATATATATATATATTTGTGTGTGTGTGTGTGTGTGTAAAAAGTGCAGTCTCACTTCTCCACCTGCATTCCTAAATGTCAGGAAACGAGAGCGAGGGAAACATCTGGAGGGAAGAGTTTACGAGAAGCTCAGAAACTGTGAAACCAGACAGACATGTTTCACAGGTGTGTGTGTGTGTGTGTGTGTGTGTGTGTGTGTGTGTGTGTGTGTGTGTGTGCGCGTGTGCAGTGATGCATCCTGAGACTGAAAGCAAGTGGCTGTAGTTTCTCGTGAGACTCACACTTGTGTGTCAGACAGCTGTGTAAATGTAGACTGCAGTAAAACCAGTAAAACACCCCCCACACACACACACACACACACACACACACACACACACACACACACACAGGGGGGGGGGCGGTGGCGGTGGGTGTGTGTCTACAGAAGGTCCAGTTGTGATAGACACGGTTCTCCACTGGTGTTAACGGGGCTGAAGTGTTGTGTAGACTCACATCAATGTTGGAAATGCTCTAAAAAAAGACTTAAGAAAAACCCTTTATTTCTACATTTGTCATATCGTTATTTAATAAAAA